TATATATAAAAACATAACGTATAGGACAATGCAATGAAAATGTTCCAACAGTATTTTGCCAAGTGGAGATCAGAGGCTGTGTATAATATTACATCTTTCCTACTTGTGCTCATTAGCTTTTACTTTGAAGGTCTTGGGCTGCCATTAAATTTGGATGAATTCACCGTATGATTAATAAAAGTAGTAATTTTTAATAGTGGTTGTCCTCACAACCTTTTTAACACTGCCTTGAAAAATGGGAAAATAATATTATATCACTGTATTTAGCATTTCTTATACTTATGAAAACATCATCCTTAAACATGGGGAATACTGCCAATATTGAATTAATGCTATCTAGCTATTTAAAGCAACCAGCGAGCTTTTGAATGACAATATCACAATATTTATTATGTCATGCTAAAAATATAGTATCACAGAAGTGTAGAGCTGGTGTGAAGGCAGCCACCTAGTCCAGCCCCATGCTCAAGTCAGGATCATCCCTAACTAACCATCCCAGTCAAGGATTTTTCTAAGAAAGCTGCTTTAAACAATAAAAAATTAAGTCCCTGTCCATAAGTACTAAAAGCTTGATGAATGATAAAATCAGTGGTGGTCATCATGGGCCATATCTTGATCATATGATTTAGATGAAACTGCCCCTGACCTCCAACAAGCTTGATTTGTTTTTGATTTAAAAAGTTCATTTTATCCCAATCATCTCAGACCAACAGTACTCAAACTCAGGTTTTGTGATTCTCATCCATTCAAAACAGCTTATCTTCAACCATTTGCCAAATTACGTAGAAGATGTTCTTATCATTGGTCGTTCTGAGTACTGAGGAAATAGGATGAAACCATCAAAGTTTTCTACATGTCTTTTTTCCCATTTATATGCTATAGAAAAAAATTACGACAGTTTACACAGAGTAAATATGTTATGTAATATGTCTAAACTCTTTCTCCATATAGCAATATGTAGAATTCATTGCCTGCTTTGTTGTTGTTTTATGGGACAGAGCTTGGAGCATGCAGTATACCCCTGGAAGTCCAAAAAGCCACATATAAAGGTGTGCAAGTCTGTTTGCAGTGCAGACCAGGCACAGGAATTCTTAGTAGTGCTGTGCACAAAACCCATAGGCCAAAACACTGAACTGGCCAAAAATTACAGTGTCCTCTGTATCCTTCCTGTAGTGTAGAAGTAGCTTACCAACACAATGGTCACTTCTAGGACTGGATTCTCTGCAACTCCATTTCTTCAGGCTTCATGGTTCTTAGTCTCACATTAAAATAATAAAACCTGTTTTCCTGCATAGCATTCTGTACAGCATATGTGGTCCCTTCTTCCACAGTTTAATCAGGATGACTCATATGATATTAAATCTCTTAATGAAAACGAGAGCTTTAGGAAGCCAAATGACTGTCTTCCAAATGCCAGTTATCTAAGAAGCTTAGGATTTCAAAAACTTATTTTTGCAGGCTTTTTATATATTCAGAACCTGAAATTGTCTTTACAGAAAGGCAAGTTATGGTTAGAATAAGTAGTAGAAACTAAAAGTGTCTAGGGCTAATATCAGGTCAGCATAAAGGACAGTTCCAGCCCTCCCATGATGCCAGGTATGTTTTTTTTCTGGTTACTATCCCCTACACATACATGCACACCGCAATTCAGGCATAATTTTACTGGCTTCTCTCTGATCAACCACTCCATGCTGCTGTGTGACACCTGGAATCCCAGTGGTAGAAAGCATTAATTTCTACTTCTACAGTTTACGGTGTATTGGTGTGAAAAACTGGTACAAAAAGTGAAGTGAAGATAAATTCAAGGTGGCATCAGGAGAGTATACTTTTAAAGCCCGATATGACATTAGGTGTCAAGGCTACATGCCCTGTTGCAGACCAGTCACCTTTTCCAAACCTGGGACAGTGATTAGAAAGTTGAACATGGAGTCCTTGACAAGTGCTCCAGCAAATTCAATCCACAAGATTTTGTGATGCCATTGCAAGGCAACAAGAAAGCAAAATCTCAGTCTTTATCATGTTTTGAAAGGGCCAATAGTACCATGACGTATCATTCTTTGTTACTGGAGGTGACTTACAGATCCAAACACTCAATATGTATAGCAAGTACACATTATATATGGGCACAGTGCTCTGGGTGGTACCCTTATTACAGTGACCGGAGAGCCTATTATAGTGCCTTGAGCAAGTGTCATGTTGTTAGCAATCTGATGTTTCTAGAGCAGAATAATTATGCCTAATAACCTACATCTTTGCAATAATTATCAATCATATCAATTATTTTGCATTAACTGACTTGAAGACTAATGCCTTGTATTCAAAAATGTGCTTAACTCTTCCCGATTATGTAGTTGGTCCAATAAAAGATACCACCTCAGGAAATCTTTGCCTCACATTAATTTAATGAGCATGTTTCCTGATACTTCTGTTGCTTCTATGTTGTGCTGTGATTAGCCTGGGATTTTCAGATCTATGCTGTTTGATTTCATTGCTAACTAGTAATTTACCTCTAATAGCCTCTCTGTGTGTTTGTGTTTTAATTAGAGGAGATCTTGAAGACCTATATTGCACATTGGTGGTCTCCTGATGGCACCAGGTTAGCATACGCAACAATAAATGCCTCCAGAGTCCCCACCATGGAGATTCCTGTATACACTGGCAGTCTTTATCCTACTGTTAAAACATATCATTATCCAAAGGTGAGGGAAAATAATAACTTTAAACAGCCTTGTTGTGTTAACTTTTTGCATTTTTCATGGTTTTTGCTTCCAGCTGACTCAGCTATGAGAATATGTAATAGAGCATTTTCATAAGCAAAGCAGTAAACAGAGAACAGTTCAGTTGTTCCCTGTTGAATAGCAGTCTTCATTACTCTTTATTTGCATCTATAAAATTACATTTTTCTGATGCTGGTGTTGGTCATTCAAAAATTGAATGAGAAAAAGTACAATGTGAACATTTTCCCCTTGTACAAGGGAAAAAAGCAGTTAGGTTTTTATGTCAGGAGTTCATCTACCCATGAGTGTCTGTAAATAAATGATATTATATTTGTTGCTTTTGTGTTTTTTATATCAAAGGGCAAATGAAGAAAATGCATAATGTAGGCATTCCTATAAAATTCAGCATAGCATAACATCAGGACAGATATTCTGCCTTTTGAAACAGGTTGCATTCTAGCTTTACTGAAAGAAAATGAGAGATGGAAAAGATCTGAAGTTTAACAGGTCCATGCCAAAGAGTGTCACCAAAGGTGGGCAGCACCTTGTGCAGATCTCCATGGGTGGAGATGATTATCATTGTTCTCATAATTTTTACTGTGTAGTATGTAATTGTACTATACTACAGAGCCACTTGCAAAAGGTATCTAACCTACCTCAATCTTGTCTGTTAAGGTGGGCCAAACTGAGCTACTCCTTAATATGGGAAACATGCAAAGAATTGTCAAAGGAAGAAGTATTGATTCAGGGGGAAATGCTCTTTCCTACAAGTCAGTATTTAATCATGTCCAATTTGCTGCTAAAGAACAGCCTGCCATTTTCAAATGAGGGGTAAAACTGAAATCCTGTCTATTTGTCATAAAACATACCACAACCTTTATGAAAGGTGTTGGTCTCAGTATTTCAGTCAGATTTCATTCTAGGGGCAATCACATTTTGTCTAGCTAGATTGCTTATACCTCCGTGCCTACTTTAAAAGTTAGATGGCTTTTTTTTCCCCTCTGGATGGTCCTCTGCAGACTTTTAACACAAAAAGTGCCTATACTTTGATATATTAAATGTTTGTTTTGTGTGTAGCACTTTCTGTAGTAACTTTTTATCATGGCACAGTGTTTTAGGCTCTGTTCAGTTGCAATAAATTAAAGTAATTTATTTTGAATTTCCAGGCTGGAATGGAAAACCCAACTATTTCTTTACACGTGATTGGTTTGAATGGACCTACTCATGATCTGGAAATGACTCCCCCTGATGATCAAAGAATGAGGTATGTTTCTTAGTATGTTGTCCCTGCCAGTCTTGCACCATAACTTTCAATCAAAAGCATTACTTTACTCCACTGCTATTAAATAATTTCAGTCGTTGCAAACCAAAAAAACCCCTTGAAACTCAGAAAAAATGTCCTTTTTTAGTGTGATTTCCTTTCCTGTTGAAATAATTAGTTAGGATTATAATGCCTTTCTTCTGAGGGATGTCTTCTGATTGATCCAAAATCCACAACAGCAAATTCCTTAAGCATGTTATTTTTGACCATTGTAAAGACCATGCTATAATGCAGCAAATGGAGGCACTGTCATGCTAAGCTAAGACACAGGAACAACAGCAGCACACATGAAACTCAGCTGGTTCAGGACTTAAACACTGGTTAACCCTTTAACTTGGTTTTAAGCATGTGCTGAAATGTTCAGATGAACAGGGGCCTACATTTTGTGGTTTCATGGAAGCTTGAAAACAAGTCTGTAAAAAACAGTATCCTGCATTGAGGTAAGCAGTAGGACTGTGCGAAGCTTCAGTCCCTGATTCGATTCGGCGGAGATAGAGCCTGATTTGGTGGCTGAATCTCTGAATTGAAATCGAACCAGAGGACCCTTTAACCTCCAAATTGAATTGGAACCTTTGAATCGATTCGGGGAGATTTGGACGTATTCAGAGATTTGGACACAGACAGCTTTAAATGCTTTTTCTACATACCTCTAGGTAGCAGGGGCTCATAAATGCTGGGGTGCATGGGGTGCTGGAATGCATGGATGCTGGGGTATGCCCCCACAGAAGTGCGAGAGGCTCTTCACCATGCTTGGCAGCAGACACAGAAGTGGCAATGCCGGGTCTGTTGGGGAGTGTGCAGGAGCGCCGCCCTGGCTCTGCGACTGGTGCTTCCTGGGTCTGGGGTGGGCACCCGGGGGTCCCCGTGTGGCTGATCACCGAGCCAGGGAGGTATGCAGGGGGGAGAGGGGGGCAGCGCAGTCCCTGGCAGACCCTGAAGTGGACTGGAAATACTCCCAGTCCACTTCTGGATTCACCACCAAGCACATCGAGGGCCCCCCCTGCACTCCTGTGGGATGCTCCATGTGCCCCAGGATCACAGCAATCATGAGCTGCGCCTGCTACCTCAAGGTATATAGAAAACACTTTTAAAGCTGTGCCTATGTCTGAATCGCTAATTCCACAGATCAGCATCAAATCTTCAGATTTGGATTCAGCTGGATGGAATCAGGGACAGTGATTTCTGTCCCTGATTCGGGCCGAATCCTAATCGAACAGGGCCCACTTCACTCGGCCCCAGTAAGCAGCTGTTATAATCTGTCTACCTTCAGGTCTAATTTATTGCTTTAGCTCACAATAGTCACTTCCAAGCCTGGAGTCTGGAGGCCACATTCTGATTTCCATAATCAGACATGCAAGTCTAACTTCGGTGGATTTACACTGTTGCAAGTGAGAGCAGAATTAGCTTCTTTGAGCCTATTAACAAATTCAGGTAAACCTATAGGCACTGCATATAACAAATGAACTTGAATGTTTACAGGGCTCACAAGTCTGGTGGAGGTAATTTTCCCTGGACATGAAATACATAAAAAGCTAATCTCTGATAGTTAGTTGAGTGCACTGTGCCACACAAGTGGTCCCAAGCCACGAGACCTTTTGTGAGTAAGTTGTCCTCCACTGGAAAGAGTGTCAGGATGTGCCTTGTAGTGTTTTTTCCATGTTATTTAAGTGCTCTGTTGTGGATCCAGTGGTACTGCAAAACCATGGACGAGTACACTCAATAAGTAGATAACAGGGCTTGCCTTTCCAAAAGGAATTTAAAGTCTATATGTAATGAGCACTGGTTCCCAGGAAAGCTCAAAACCATTGTCCTTGAATGTTGCCATTTTTCTGTTGGAGTATTGACCGGAAAAAAAACATAGTCTTTAAACACGAAAGCTAACATTGGAATTCTTCATCCTGGCTTTATTATAACAATTGCTTGAAAGTTAATTTGTGCAGCTGCAGCTTCCATGTACTCTAATAAATATGTGCAGTCTGGGGTTCATTTGCTATAATTAGTATGGATGACTATAATGTATTTATTTGATTATAATTGATATTGTAAAAGAATGCAAAATATATCATAATTAACAATCCTTCCTGTATATTTCATCAAAAACCTAACACTGCCAGACCCCAGAACACAGAACAAGTCTTGCTGGTAGACCCATGGGGGTACATATTCATTATGCATGTATTTTCTGAAATGAGAGGATTAGTGTGATTGCATTTCATTAGACTTGACAATGAAGATAGGCTGTCAGGTTAGTTACAAAAAGGAGTTTTGAGGAGGAAAGGAGTACTTCTTACAAGGATCGCAAAGCAGAGAAGTGCTATGTAAAACATTTAAATGTAAATAAAACTAAAGGTTCGTGACTCAGTTCAGGATGATGATGTCACAGCTCTTCCTGATATGCTGAAGTTCCCTTAAAACAATCTTTAGTGCAACTAGAAGAGCTAGAAAATAGTTTTTCCTGCTATTTTTCATAGGAAATTTTGAATTTGTTTCTAAAATTCCCATGCAAAAAATATTTCAGGAAAAAAAAGATTAAGAAGATAAAAGAAATGTTATTTTGGAAATCCATTTCTGGTAAAAGTACCATTTTTTAGTAAAATGTTTCTATTTGCATAAGCTGAAAATAGGATGTACTTACCCCAAAATATACATTTTTGCAGAAAAACAGTACAAAAAACCTCTGATTTTCAATTTCATGTGCTTGCAAAAAAGCAGCAAACTGTGACCCTAATGAAAACCCTTTGTTTCTGAGCACCAGGCATCGTTTAATTAAAAAAATGAGCAAGTAGCAAATAGCCTGCTCTATTGGCATGTACACAGTGCACACAGGGCCATGAGCCAGCCTCTTACCCAGGCCTGATATCCACTCCTACTGAGGCATTACGGGCACTTTTACACATGCTCCGGGGGTGTGCTTTAATTAGAGTGGGTCCACAAGCTGCTGTAATTAAAGCACCACCATGTCTCCTGTATCAGCATCCCCAGGCTTAAAAATGGTGATGGGAGCGCTCAAACTAAAGCTCATCAAACAAGCTTTAGTTCAAGAGCCCCTGCCATGACCAGTGACTGCCTGTAGATGCTGCCGGCAGTGTCGGCAGCAGCCAATCTCAGGGAGTGCCCTGCCAATCTCAGGGGGTGCCTGTGCACCCACACGCATGCCCGATGCATCGCCAGTGCCATTCCCTATTATTACGATGCCTGCACAGTTTGGTTTTAGGTTGCTGACTCCAAGCCATCCATGTGGTTCTTAGATGGGAAATGTCTTGTGATAAAAATAAAGTCATCCTTCATGAAAAGGATGAAACTGTTGTTGATGATTTATAACATGAGGCAGCCTGACCTCCTTCAGTAGCTCAGATAAATCCTGCCAAACTTTTCAATCTTTCAGGACAATTTCCTGTGAAAACAAATAGGAATTATGATAGTTTTTATCACTCCTGATCTGTATTACAGTGGAGAATTGGTGTCTCATGCTCCAGGCTGTACTACCAGTACCTCTCTCAATGAGTTCATCATCTAGGATTATTACAGGGTACAACAGATGAGCAAACCACACAACTTCACAAAGGAGACCGGGTAACTGGATAAATGAGGATTTTCCATATTATGCAGAAGTCTCATTTTACAACTTGCCTACTCAGAGAGAAGTAGTATGGCTTAGTGCCTTGGCTGATAACCTATGATTTCCAGGACCCCAATTCCACATTCACCATATTCCTGGATATGTTACTGAGGCCAGATACTAAGCTGCCTAATGGGACTTAGATGGAATTTACATCCCTGCATGTCCAGGAGAGCTGGTTGTATTTTAAAGAAGTCTTACAGAGGATGCAGGAACAAACCTTCCCAATGAACATCCCGATAAAGCTCATCACAATCAGGAGAGGTTCTGGAGGACTGGAAAAGGGCAAATATAATGCCCATCATGAAGAAAGGGAAGATGGAGGATCCAGGGAATTGCAAACGAGTCAGTCTCACCTCAGTCCCTGGAAAAATCATGGAACAGATCCTCAAAGAATCCATTTGTGAGCATTTGGAGGAGAAGGTGATTGGATTCACCAAGGACAAGTCGTGCCTGACCAACCTGATTGCCTTCTATGATAAGATGACTGGCTCTGTGGATGTTGGAAGAGCAGTGGACAAGATATACCTTAATTTTAGCAAGGTTTTTAATATGGTTTCTCACAGCATTCTTGCAAACAAGCTAAGGAAGTACAGGCTGGATGAATGGACTGTAAGGTGGATAGGAAACTGGCTGGATTGTCGGGCTCAAAGGGCTCAATCAATTACTTGATGTCTAGTTGGCAGCTGGTATCAAGTGGAGTGCCCCAGGGGTCAGTCTTGGGACTGGTTTTGTTCAGTATCTTTATTAACAACCTGAAAGATGGGATGGAGTGTACCCTTAGCAAATATGCAGATGACACTAAGCTGTGGGGAGTAGTAGATATGCTGGGGGTAGAGCTAGGATTCAGGGAGACCTAGACAAATTGGAGGATTGCACCTAAAGAAATCACATGATGTTCAACAAGGACAAGTGAAAAGTCCTGCACTTAGGACAGAACAATCCCGTGTACTGACACAGGCTGGGGACCGACTTGCTAAGCACCATCTCTGCAGAAAAGGACCTGGGGGTTACAATAGATAATAGGCTGAATATGAGTCAACAGTGTGCCCTTATTGTGAGAAAGGCTAATGGCATACTGGGCTGCATTGGTAGGAGTGTTGCCAGCAGATTGAGGGAAGTGATTATTCCCCTCTATTCAGCACTGCTGAGGCCACATCTGCAATACTGTGTTCAGTTTTGCCCCCCGTCCCACCCCCCCTACAAAAAGGATGTGGACAAATTGGAGAGAGTCCAGCAGAGGGCAACAAAAATGGTTAGAGGGCTTGGAAATATAACTAATGAGGAGAAGCTGAGGAACTGGGCTTATTTAGTCTGGAGAAGAGAAGAATGATGAGGAATTTAATAGCAGCATTTAACTACCTGAAGGGTGGTTTCAAAGAGGATGGAGCTAGACTATTTTCAGTGATGGCTGATGACAGAACAAGAAGCAATGGTCTCATGTTGCAGCAAGGGAAGTTTAGGTTAGATATTAGGAAAAAACTTTCTCACTAGGAGGGTAGTAAGCAACTGGGACAGGTTACCCAGAGAGGTGGTGGAATCTCCATCGTTGGAGGTTTTTAAGACCCGACTAGACAAAGCTTTGGCTGGGATGATCTACTTTGGGATGGTCCTGCCTTGAGCAGAAGTTTGGAGTACATGTGACCTCCTGAGGTCCCTTCCAACTCTAATTTTCTATGGTTCTGTGATTACGAAAAAAAAGAGTGATCCAAATCAACCCCACTTAAAGGCCCCAAAACCACTTAGGTGCCTAGATTTGTTAGGTATTTCTATTTCAGCTTGAAATGATCCGTACACATTTGGGCATGTTTGGACGCAATCTCAACCAGCTGTCTGTGCATCTCGCTCCTGCCCAAATTCTGTTGTGATCTAAATCCATGCTAGTAGGCACCTATATCCCTTTAGGCAGGGTCAGTGCACACCTAGTGATTGTTTGGTACTCCAAGTATGCACAAAGTATGTTACAAATACAGCTGGAGAAGCTAGTGGGGTGCCTCACATCTTTTGCCCACTTGGGTTCCACTTCCTTCTCTGATGTTTGGAAGGGGAAATGATACCAAGATCTGAAGTTGCTGCCTGCTAGTCACTGTGAGTCGTTTCAAAATTTAACGTGTCCTCTAAACTCTATTAAAAAAATGTTGCCAGCAACAATTTGCCCTAAATTCACAAAATTTGTTTCCCTTTTTTTTTTTTTTTTTTTAATGCAGCTGTATTTTACCTCCTAGGAAACATGCTATTGCTGATCTCAAGTATAAAATCACGCTTGATTTCAAATGCTGACTTTTCAAGATACTGTTACCCAAAGGCTCCCTGTTCCTGTTCTTCGGTGTTGTTCATGCAGGAGCTAAACACTTTTCTTATTTTTTCCAGCAAAATTTGTGCGCCAAATATTGCTAAATTGGTTTCCAACGTGTTATTTTACTAGGAAAACAGATCTTTGTTGCTTTTGCCCTTTTTGTTCAGTACACACAGAAATCCTTGCCAGAACACAGAATGCTCTCTAGTGATACAGCACACTAATCCCAATGAGAGCAACAACTCCTTTTACATATTTTATATCAAACAAATGAACTACTAAATGTTTTATAGACTGTGCACCATGAAAAGTCACTGTATTATAATTTAGGGATGCCTTTGGCCCACCAGTCAGTTCAATGAGAGCTATACTTTTTAGATGCAGCTGTAGATTTTTGCAGATCCATGACTGAAGGTGGAAATCTCCCAGTACCACCCCTGACTGGTGGAGAGTTTGCACCTCCTATTATATTTGGATGTTATCCCATCTCTTCCCTCTTAGCCTATTTATTTGTATCCCCAGTTGCTTCACTTTGTCTTTTACAAATTCTTTAGGACAAAGACTGTTATGTATTATATGGTTGTTCAGCCTAGAAGAATGGAGCCCAATATGGTTCCAGTAAATACTGGAGTGATGATGATGACAAAGGGATTTGGAACCATATTCTTATTCTTGGCCGATTCATTCTCACACAGCTTCGTTGACTACTTTCTACTAATGTTTGTGGTATTAAACGCTGCATAACACTAGTTCTATATGTGCAGGTCTCCACTGCTGAGGAGGCTCTGTTGTTCTGTATCCCAAGTCATACATTCAGATGGGAGGTTACCATATATTTCACATACAACATTCACTGTTTCCCCCAAAATCAGCTCCATAAATTTATGGTGCATGCAATAAATGAAGAAAGCCAGGTTTTTTGCCTGGGGTAGAAGCACCACGCTTTGATTCCTGATCCACAGTGTAGCACAGTGTAGGTGGTGTTGAATTGCTCTTCAGGAGTTGAGGAAGTCTGTTCCTTTACTGACTCATTGTTCTTTACTCCAGAGGTGTTAACGATTATTTTTCATGCTTGTGATGTTCCATTAATCAAGCTAACCTTTCTAAGGACAATTTTGCTCTCTGCAAGCTGCTCCTGGTTTCTCTTCTCCCATTTCACAGCCTTGGACACACTTTAGTTCTTTTCAAAGCTCTACCCAACAGCTTGGTTTCAGCTTTAGTTAAGCAAGAAAAGCAGGGTAAGTCATGTGAAGATTAGGCTCTGTCCCTGCTTTATGCAGTTATAACTCTGAAAAAAACCATTTATTCCCCACCCTCTTCTTTCTGCTTTTGAAAAGCAAGATGCATATTATATTCTGGGGCATGTTATACATGATAAAATACAGTAATTTGATTTTTACATTCTTTAGCTGAGCCAGACATCTTGAGTCAGATTCATCAAACTATTTTGCCTTTTTTTTTGTTTATTTGTCTTTGCATCTACATAGATTTGTAACTTCATACACTTTCCATGCATCCTTTTGTAGTCCTATTGCTCTTTAGTAGTTACCCACTCAGCTGGCAACTAGAGTAGAAATTTGGAACTTACATGTAGAGCCCTAAAATATATCATCTTCCAATGCATATATAACTAACCGGAGAAACATTGAGACTTAGAGATTGTTCCTTCCCTTCCTGTTCATACTAGGATCAACAAACCCATCAGTCGGTTGAGTGGCAAAATATTGTAGCATTAGCATCTCTGGGCTGCATGTTGCTGGTCTAGTACTACAGAGTGATAGCGGTCTATGTATGTTTACGTGTTTTCAGGGACTACTACATAACCATGGTGAAATGGGCAACGAGTACCAAAGTGGCAGTAAACTGGTTAAACAGGGCACAGAACGTCTCTATCTTGACCCTCTGTGATGCCACCACTGGAGTCTGTACAAAGGTAAGAAATACACTTCAGAGCCATTTAAAAGTACTTACCTTTAATATTTGTGGTCTGCACTGGGAGAAAATATTTAAACCATTTTATTAGAAAGTGTGTCAGACTGTATACAGACTTGTACATTGCTTTAGGTAGACACACATTTGCTTCAGGACATAGTAACATACCATATCTGAATTTACTGAGCAAGGGAGGGGTTCTGCGCTCCTAGTGGATCTATAGAAAGCCAGTCTCGGTCTGGCCTTCCACGTTGTTTGTGCCTGTTTACAAGCTTATGGTATATTAATGTAGATAGAAGCACACACACACACACACACACGCATCTAACAGTGCTGTTTTTAACTTGAGAGTCCTTTTACCATCTGAGTTAATGGAATTATGTAAATCAGAGTCCAAACACATATTTTGGGCTGATTCAGGGAAGTTTCCCCTAGTGTAGATTCAGTTATCCCACCAGAAATACCTGCATAGTAATATAGATGATTTCAGTACAGATACATAAACAACGTTCTAAAATGGCAAAACTTATCTTCATTCAGGGGGAAGGCAGGGTAGATTTGTACCTCATAGTCTAGCTAAATCAGAGATGTATAGCATAAGCTTTTGTGCTTCATCAGCATCCCTTCTCTCTGCACATTCAGGGGGATCTTTCTATGTAACTATATCTGTTTATAAGCTTATGCAGTGCAAACCCTTTGTGCATGCAAGGTCTATATGAAGATCCTGGGAATAGTGTAATAACAAGTAAATTACTGTCTTACTTTAAGGAGCCATGTGTCTTTTGAATTTCCTTTTTGTCCATATGAATAACATGTCTTCCTATATGAGACTTTGCTTGTTTATCAGAAAGCAACAATAGAAGAACAGGCCCTGGATTATATTCCTGAACAGCACGCTTGAACAGTTTCTCTGTGCTTGGTCACAACCGTTCAGACTCAGTCAAACTGCTTTCTGCACTGATGAGCAAAATGAAACACATGCAAACTGTTATTTAATTATGTCATTTCATTTTAGAAACACGAAGATGAAAGCGAAGGCTGGCTGCACAGACAGGTAACAGTGATCTTCCTAACAGAATGTAAAATATACAGGCTCTTTTTATTGAGCTATGGGACACCTTTGCCTAAAATATCTGAGATTTCTTTTTCTCTAGGAGGCCCTACTAGTTAAAACCATGGGGTGCCTATACACATGCTCTGATGTGTTCTAGTTTGATTGAGTCCACTGCAACTTTCTAATTAAAATGCTCCAGTGTGCTGCAGCATCATGTGTATTCAGCATCCCACATTTTAAAATGGTAGCAGGCGCTCTTTAACCAAAAGTCATTGAATGAGCTTTAGTTAAAAGGCCCCCATGGTCATTTTGAAATGCAGGATGCTGAATACATGTGATGCTGCAGTATTTTAATTAGAGTGTCTGTCTGAGAGCTGCTCTAATTAAAACACCCTGCACCCCCCCCACCCCGAAGCAAGTGTATAAATGCCTGAATTCCCAAAATATGTTTGACATGAATATAAGCTGCCTGAAAAACTACTATTGAATGAGTCACCCCTGCACCAAAAGCCAAGCTAAGACTGACCAACAGCACAAGTCCTCAATAAAATCTTATTTTGGGGCTGATGGTTGTATTAATTGATGCAGTGGCCCTCCACACAGGAGAGAATCAGAATTAAATGATTGAAAAAGCAAGTCTAAAAAGGGCCATTAGGTGAATCCTAAGTAATATTTGAGAGCTCCTTAGTTACCTAGGAACTTTTGAAATGTGACCTCAAATAAACTATTGCAGATACTTTAAATAGAAGAAAAGAGGAAAGGCAAACAAATCAAAATGGTAAATTTAAGCAACAGTTGAAACCATGAATGCTTACAAGGAAACCTAGAGCATTAAATTGGAAGGGACCTCCTGGGACATCAAGTACAACCTATTTCTATCACAGGGACAAATTTTTTAGAGACTCTGTCATAAGACAATCAAGTTTGTACTTCTGAATTTTACATCTAAGTATATCAGCTCAAAAATCCACTTCTGCGCCTTAAAAAAGAGGCTGAACTGAGTATAAGCACCAAGGAAAAAGAAGTGAAGGTCAGTTAGAAACTATAAACAAAGAGTTTAAATTAATTAAAATTAAGATTTATTTTCTAAATAATCATTGGCATTGATCCATACAGGCCCTATTCATCCAACATAATTATTGCTTTCTGAAGTGTAAAAGTTTGTGATAACTAATGACACTACCTGAGTGTTAGTTTAGGGAACAATCTGAGAGTTGATCAAGTTCCTCCTCAGAGAGAAGCTATTGGTATCAGTCTGTTTTTTGTGGCATCTCTGAGTGCCTGACACACAAACATGAGTAAAATAAAAGAACCCATGCTGGATTTCCTCATGCAGAAATGAAGTACAGCACAAATTCGCCGTGATTGGTACAGAAATCCTAAGAATCTAGGAACTCCGATACATAATGAGACCAATATTCCCCTCAGTCTAGAGACTTTCCTTCAGCAATGACTGGTACATGGTCCATGTAAAAACTAACTTTATAGTTAGTTAGATGCCCCAAACTAAAATCTTCTTTTCTCTACCTGAGTTCACGTATAGAGAAGACAAATAAAAACACCCAGTATAGCTTATATCCCCACAATGCACTATATATATTAGCCTGGATATATTGAAAATTGTTCAAAGATGGAGCTTTTAAAAGGAAAACAAAATTAAATTCCTCTATTTTAAATATCACAAGATTCACTGGGAGATCTATTTTTATAAGTATGGAACCAGTTTAAACCTCTTCCCTTCCACTTCCTGCAACATCTGTCATGCTGTAACTGAACCTAGATATGTACATTTAAAGTACAATACCCTGATTGAGTGCTGAGTCTTCAGAGGACCTGGACTGAGACACATGTATACCAGAGTAATTTAAAAGAATTTTGGATATCAGTATAAATTACACCAGGATCTAGAGTGAACAGAAATGCAGCTATCCTTGAGTAAATACTCCAGTATCTGCATACAGTAGATACTATTACAATGCTTCACCATTTGGTGATAGAAGAGTGGATTTGCCATGAACAAATTGGTACCTCAGGGTAAGTTGTGAACAAATGACGGTTATACCAGTTTAACTTATACCAGTGCACTTTCACCCTGACTTTTCCCAGGATCATTTCATATTTGATTCAAGTAAGTTACAGTAGTGGAGGCCACTTATTCCTATTTGACACTAGTGGAAAGATGTTATATATCCAGGTTCAGCATTGTTTATCTGGTACATAAGTCAGTACTTAAAGTGTGAATACTAGGAAGTTTAATGATAATTTTAGGTGTTAAGTGATGTGCATTATATCGTGTGCGCTACAAAATGGCAAATTCTATTCCTTCTCCTCCATGCAACAAATGCTGCACCAGGGTTTAGAGAACCCAAGTTCTTTGTTTTAAACCAATGAGTTTGATATTCCGGCAGCGTGCTAAAATATTCATCACAACAGGGTTTTGAGACATTTGGCACAACTGTGCAAATAAGTCCCAGCTGGTTTTCTAGGAGTCAGGAAAATAATGTAGAGCTCCTTGAATTTAAGTTCTGGCAATGACGCTCTGCTAAGTTTCTGTTTTAGACTAGCTGTATGATTATTAGGTTATTTCCTTTTCCTGCTTTTTTTTTTTCCCCTCCCATGTTTGAGAACTTAGATAACTATTTTAGCAGATGTGACCAAATATGTATGTTGAACAGCAAGCATTGAGCCCAGCTGGAAATGAAATTCATATTTCAGACCTAATAGTGAGTCAGCCAAGTGATCAGGACTTCTTAAGCTGAGAGGAGAACCTTCCCAGGAGCAGGAGAGAGTAGCAAATGACATCCCTGTGACTCTTGTCCAGAGATGAGAGCAGTTCCTTTCCGTGCACAGCTAGCTTAGCTAAGGAAAATGGCTTCTTTTCTGAGTGTTCAAGCCAGAACATTCAGGCCTCACACAGGCACTCAGCTGCACTCCAAAATGAACATTTAGGTATCTGAAAAACTAGTTGCGTGTGCAACTGCCACAATAATGCTATTGTTAGTCACTTCTGCCAGTCACTGAAGGTGTGTAGAGCACTGCCAAGCTTTTGCTCAGGTGAGTTATGAACCTAAGTCCCATTTTAAGAAGGCACTTGGACATTTAATTGTGTAAGTATATAGTTTCAAAAACTTTAAGTTCCTTTCTAAAAGCTCCTCAAGTCACTTTTGAAAATGGACTCGATTCCTGAGTCATGTAGGAGTTTTTGAAAAGTTTTTGTATTACAATTTAAAGATAGCTTTGGACTCCTTTGGCCCCTATCATGGGGAGTTTGCAAAGCATATTAGACATGAAGTAGCGAAGAGAAAAATGACAATAAACTGGAGGCAGGATGGGAGAAAGATCAGTAAGATTACGTGGATGCTCAGCAAGGACTAGTGCCGGGAAAATTCCCCTGGGATTTCAGGCAAATGTCCCAGCAGGTATGGGTTTTAAGGAAGGCCGGCACATCTTAAACTGAAAGTGTTTTAATGCTCAGTCAAGTAACTGGGTGAAAATTAATGGCTTCTGAGGTGCAGGTTAGGTTGGAGGATCTAATGGTCCCTTCTGTCCTGAAACTGTATGAATTAATTGTATTTAAGTACAAACTCTTAGAGATGCTAGACCACCTCAGAGTTTGTCTTTGGAAGAGGCTGGAAAGGATGTAACCATTCAAATCTCCTTAGTGGGAAAACAGAATATAATTGATCAGTGCATAGATCACCAATATATTACCAAAGTTTCAGAACATTTCTATCAATCATTAATATTTGTACCAATATAACATGCTGAGGATTTGGCATTAGGCTCCCAAATAAAAGTGACCTAATTTTTATCGGTGCTGTCCACATGTAGCTCCCACTGACTTTGGTAGCATTTGTTGGTGCCTATCACTTCTGAAGATCAGACCTCTTATGTTTAGATACCAGCATGTAGGCACAAGGGCATGACTTTAGGGACTCACCCTGGCAAATATTGTCCTGTATCTATATCTCTAATGAGATGCATAGATAATCTGAAATAGTATTTGTTTCCAATTTTTCATGTTCCTTAGCTGTAAAAACCTTTGACCTAAGGCCAATGAGGCAGTTCTTTCCAGGAAGCAAGTGCAGTTGTCACAGGTAACAAGTTGTTCTTCCTGGAAAGCAAGGGGAAGGGAACACAGGCAATTTTCAAATGCTGGTTTTGAATGAATGTTAAGGGGGTTTTAAGTCGGTGAGAGTTTTGCAGTTGACTTCAGCGCAGCCAGAAACTGGCCCCTTACAAGATAACCCACAACACCTCTCACATAAGCTAAACACAAATCTTCTCTTCATTTCCTTCCCCTAAGGTGCATTCTTTATACCAGCTCTCCTGTTTCCTTAAGTGCCTTGGCTCAGTCTTGGTCCTAGGCTGAAGAACATTTCTTAGTTTTTTCTTTTCAGTCTCTCAAATTCTCGTTGTCACAGTATAACAGCTCCACTAGTGATTCATGCATAGCGCAACTCACATTTTTCAGTGTAGTTTCAATGGTCTGGAAACTAAAAACAAGGCTGGCTTTGCACTCGCCTTTCTGTGTTGTTTTGCATTTAGAAGCACTGAAGTATAGAAATGCATCTCCACATCGCTGTCACCATGTACTTCCTAGAGTCCACAGAGCACAGCAGGGACAGAACTAAGTCTCATTATTCAACAGCATGGGCTCTATCAGTAGAGGTAAAGGAAAATCTCCTTTAGCAGGGAGTAGCACCGGGCCTATGGCACTTAGTTGAGCAGTTCTTCTTTTATCCAGTAGAGGGGAGTGATACACAGAGACACACGTGTGCTAACCAATTCATGACAGCACTTATCTTATGTAATAATATTATTGGTGGCAGGCCCTCTGGCCTCAGAGATGGACATCAACATATTGTCTCAGCCTCACAAATCAATGCAGGGGGAAAGAGCCTCAGGGGTGAATGAGGCAGGTGATGGGACAGAGGTGTTGGTGGCTTGTCCAGGGCTGTGCATGTATGTTGTGGGGG